CTCAGAAGTCTGAGTCTAATATATGGACAGCCCCTTCTTTGGCAGTCTATAATCCAGTATATGGCAGAAGATGAGGATCTCTCTCTGACTCCAAACACTAACCCGGCCCCAAAAAACATCAGAGTATGATGAGAAGTTCAATGTAACCCAGCTAACAAGATTAAAGCAACTGCAACAAGCTAGTCACTGGGAAAGACAGGTTGGTAAGAACTGACAAAACCGAATGGACCGAAGCTTATTGAGAAACACAGTGGGTTTGGAGGAGGGAACTTGACAAGGCAATGCAGTACGAAGGCTTGGGGATCCTCTCTGCAATGTAAATCAGAGGCAGCAACTCCACTGATATCAGTAGTGTTACACCTGTGAAAACTGAAAGACTCTGCTCCACCTAATCTACAGGCCAGCCGATCAAAAATGCTTTGCCACAGGGACCTATTAGAAGTACCCAAGTGATTAAGGGACCTCAGTGATGTTCAGTGACACAGAATGTAATTTTCAATTGCTAAAATACTTTGGAGCAGATACCTCCACTTCTTGCAGCTCTGCAAAATGGAGACATGGACAATACCAGACACACAGCATCCTTCCTTCCTCTGCAGTGCCTGTCATTTCCTCTCCATTTGAGCTTTTCAAGTCATCAGGAACCTTTGCAAACACATTTGAAGTATAGCCAGTGCATTAAAATTGCTGCACCGCTAGGAAAATAGGACACCTATTTTTCTTTTCTCTGTCTCTCACCATGCAGTTTAAAGCTTCCAAGCCTTCAACTTTTTTTCTATTTTTACTTGTAATAAACAAAAGGCCCAGAAGTAGCACCAGCACCCCGGAGAGGAAGAGGGAGAGAAAGAAAAAGAGAGAGAAGGAGAACAGAGACCAGGAGATGGCAGGCTCCTTTAAGTGAGGTGTTCTTAGCACTTCTCTCGCTCTCAGGCTGTTCCAATGCTGAATTAGGGCACAACAGTTTTGCAGGAGGGCAGGGAAGTAGTCTCGCTGCAAAGCAAACATTCATGCTTGGGAATGAATCAGCCTAGAAACTGAACTAAGTCCCTTGAAAGAAGGCGGCTCCCTGGGTAAAGTTCAATACCTCAATCCACTGAAGTGAAATGAAAGACTGAAATGAAAGGGCCTCAATTCTGCGTCACCCTCCTGCCGGCTCTCTTAAAGGCCTGTTTTCCCGCTCCCAGAAAAAAGCTTCTATTGATTTAACTAGGGCTCGACCTTTCACGTTAATGCACTCGATACAAGTTGCCATTGACCAGCAAGAGCCAGGTGCCCATTACGGAGATTTTTGCATAGACAGAGGGAGCAGAGTCAAACCCTGCTCTTTTAAGGTCTGCAGGTTCTCTGGCATCTGCTGGGCACTTGTACGCGTTATGGGCTCTATGGGCCGTTGCTTTCCATCCCTCCCGCTTCAAAGCGCATGCTGGGAACCTGAGACTTGCCTGCACTGCAGGTTCTGACAGGAGTGGTGGTGCGCTTCAGGGCTTGCTGCGCACGCAGGATCCAACCTGCCTCAGTCCCCCCCTTTTCAAAGTTCACCGCACCTGAAAAAACACAGCAGAAAAACAAAGGCATGTATGATCCGTCCGCTTTTGGACGCAGATTGGCTATTTCTCCTCCACTCCAACATCTCCATTCAGTAGAACCACTAAATTGTGCTCCTTATTCTTTAAGGAAAGCAATCGTCTCCCATTCCTTCTGCCCTGTTTATTGGTGGGACAGTCCTACCTTCCTTGGCTGCTTACCTCTAAGCCTTTCAGGTATCAAAACTCCTGGCCAATTCCTCGCCCATCAGACCTCAATGTTCCTGGTATCATTCCTCAGTCTTTTCTCATCCTAAATCTTTGATCCAGTTGCCAAGGTGCCAATCTGTATTCGAATCAAAACCATTTCCGGTGGCATGGCCTGATTAGTACCCCATGGGATACCAGCAGGATTGTGACAGCACGGAACAAATCCAGGGATCCTCAGAGCTTCTACAGCAGCTTTCAGAGAAGGATCTCAAAACAACCTGGAAAATGTGTCCCGGTTCAAATCTTGGTGTCTGCAAACATCACCTTCTCAACCTTTCTCTGCCCTGTCTGCTGTCTGTGAACAGAGACCAGAAATCGGCTCCAATCCAAGGCGTGGCCTAGGCCAATTACTGTACAAGAGGAAAGGTAATTAAACAAGGAGGCCAGGTGCATGTGCAGTCCTCACCAGTTAGCAGAACTGCTCGTGTGCCACTGGAAGACAAAGGTGAATGTGCATTTCAAAGGAATGAAAATGCGCGGTTCAGGAGGGAGTGGATTAGGTCATTTGAGGTGACATGAGAAGTGGGCTTTTAGCAAGTACAATACTTTCAGAGAGGGCTCTGCAGCAGAGAAAGGGTTAGGCATTCATTTTTGTCGATACCCCCCCAGGCACCACGGGAACAGAGCAGCCAGCTCTGGGCTATGGAAGGGTGAACTCCTCCCCGCACCTTTTACCCTGGGCCCACCTACACTGCAGGACCAACTGCATGTCTTAGACTGCACCAACCTACTCCAGCAACATACCGCAGAGCCAGCACGTGCGGGGTCCTGTATGTTCTTCAATCCCTACAAAGCCACGTAACCAACTAAAACTTTTTAACATTCACTAAAAAAGTTTTTCAATAATATTGAGCAGTTGTAACAGGGCCATGAGCAAGGAGTCTTGTTCCCACCCTGGACATGTTTGGTTGCAAAGAGAATGAAGACACGGGTACCGACAACATAGCTCCTGTCACCTACTTAACCGTGAGGGCACCTAGGCATCTGCATTGGCCAGTAACATTGCAAGAGCTGGTCATCCAAGGATGCGGCTTCCTGGAGCGGATCAGCCTTTCATAAAGCAAGGCACCCTGATCTGTATCCTGGTATAGTCAAAGAGACAATGAAGAGCCACAAGCTTAGATAAAGGGAAGGCACAGCATGATTGTGACTTCGGAGCCCACCATTATGGAAGGACCGACCCAGGCTCTGTGGGCCAAGACAGCAGTGTTGGCTCACCGAGTGATCGTCCTTTTTAACCATGACAACAGGCCCTTCTTTGTGCAGCAGGCAGTTTTGTTGGCTGCACTTAAACACTGTGTGTGGCAAGAAAGGGAACAAGTGAAATTCCTGACATTCCTCACTCCCCACCACCAGCGAAAATTGCCAGCGAACAAATATGTGCCGGAGCCACTTTTCAAACCACTGACACTAGCAAGAAGCAGGAGGGGAGGGGGAGGGCAGCCCTTGATTACCTCTAGATGCTGGAGTTCAAAGGCAATTTCACGGGAGAATCAAGCTATTGCCAGCTTGGCTTGCTTTGTGCAGGAAAACAGCACAGATGAAGAGGATTCCTTGCAGCGTCTCTAGGAAAACTCTCTTCCCCATTTCATGCTTTGCTGGGCAGGAGTCAGAAAAGGGTAACTCCCCCAATATTTTTGTGCTTAATCAAAATGGTTTAGAAGGTAGTGGCATGCAGGGCAGAGGAACCCCCAGCCTGTACAGTGTTGCCAGGCAGTTCCATCGCAGAGGAACACCCAGCCTGTACAGTGTTGCCAGGCAGTTCCAGACACCGGTCATCTAAGAATTTCAAAGTATTTTCCCCAAGAGTAACTTAAGCCTCCAGAGAGTGATATCTCCATGGTATAGAGGAAAACTGAAGCTTCATTTGGTGAATGGATAGACATTTTAGAGGCTGTTACAGAAATTTTAATGATTGCATCCTGGCAGAGAACAAGAGACTCAAGCAGGCAGAGTAATTCTTCCCCCAGCTGCTAGGACTGCTATTCTATCAGATTTCAAGTTCATCTGATGGTTTGCCTGGGAACATGAATCCTTCCCCAAGGTGGCAAGCTGAACATGCAAGATGCACCTGCCTCCAGCACACCACCACTGCTGGGTCTTTGAAGTCCCTTGTTAGCATCATGGGGTCGGACTTGATGATCTACTTAGGTCCCTTCTGACCCTACATCTATGAGTGAATCAGCCACTCATCCCTACCACCTGCTTACTTTCCAGATAGACTGCAGAGTTGGGAACAAGGAATTAATGAGTTCTCACTGCCTGGGTCTTGCATAGATCACCTCTCCCCCCCCTTGCCTGCTGGCCCATGACAATCCTACCCAGTGTGTTGCGAGAGCTGCTGCAAGTCAATTCTTTTGCAAAGTGCCTGTTTCGGCCTCAATGATTGCCCTCAGCAAGCTGACTACAGCAATGAATTAGGTTGTCTATAAGTGGTTCTCCCTGTGAAAGCACAAGGCACACTCTAGCATCCTGAATCAGCCTTGAATCAAGAGACTCGCAGCAAATCAAAGCTCTACCTCTAGGCTTCGATGCATTTGGAGAAGTACTGAATTTGTGATCTGTCCTTAATGACACACTTAAAATCCACACCATCCTGGTGTGCCCATACAGCAAAGGAGCAATTTTCACATGAAGCTGGAGAAGCAGATGGGGTGGGGTTGAGAAGCAAAGACAAAAACATCTCCCTCGCACTTGCCATTTTCAGGCGGAACTTGTGCTAGTGCTTCAACACTATCATTGGATGCTGGACGTTCAGCACAGGGGGCAGGAAACCTTAAGTGCTGATTTCAAGAACCCAAACAAGCACTCTTTACACTGCAGGGTCTTTGAAGTAAGGACTTAGCTATTGTCCAAACCCAACACACACACACTCTGAGTCCTGACCCATAATTGGGCCTTCTGTTGCAGCAAAGTGTTAACCAACAAACAGGTGGGGGCAGCTTTCTGTCAAGCTAGGAAAGCACAACACCTTTGTTGCAGCTCAGCATACAAGAACAGGAATTGTGTTTTGCTGAACCTGTTTTCTTAGGCCAAAGTTATAGCACCCTGAATCAGGTGGAGCACATGGGAGAGGCTGCATTTCATAAACTTGTTCCACTGCTCCGCTCCCTCCACATATTTCCCACTGTTTTGGTTACCGCTTAGAGGAGACAGATGTGCAGTAGGAGAGAACAAAAAAGCCCAAGACTCATCCCATGAACATACAGACAATGGCTGCAGGTGCATCCTCCAGCCACTGCGCTCCATTGCCGTGGACTGGATAAGGTACTCCATGTGGAAGCCTCTGTAATGGAGAGGGGTCGGCAGGCTTGCTCAGAGGAGTACCAGGAGAATGTTGAGATCCATTTTCAAGCTGCTTTGTGTGCCCAGTTAGTACTCCAATTTCCGATCAGCTGGTCTGGATCTGTGCTCCTGCAGTGATCAGTGCTCCCTGGTACCCACTCCACTTTCTCAGTAATGCAGAAGAGGGAAGGGAAGATGGACAACTCACTCCAGTGCCTGGAGACGGTTCCTTTTCTTCTGCTTTGTTTCAGGTGCAGAGAGGGAGCCCCTAGAACCCCCGAAAGATTACTCAAGGGGGGCAACTGCTTTCCACTTCCCACAGCAGATTAAACACCCACAGTATGAAGGAATCACATTCCAATGCAGTCTTTTCCTTCCTAGTTGGATAGGCTCCCAACAATTCAAGCAGGTTTAATTCTTCCACCCCTTCTTGACCAAAGCATATTTAGGGAATCAGAAGCGTCACCAATGTGCAGGCACTTCCTTCTCTTTTCAGCTGAAGGCAACATATATACAGAGGGTACTTCTTTGGAGTATTTTGGACAACAGCCGACAGCAGCTGTGCTGAACCAAAGCCCTTCTTTTAAACAGAAATTAGTTTGGCAAAGGCTTCTGGGCCTGGGAATGATCTTCATGGGTTAATGAAGTTAACTTCTACAACCCATCCTTTGGACTATAGATGGTGGGTGCATCTACACCTGGGCATGTCAGCTGTTACATGCAACAAGTGAAACATTTTTGGAAAGTGTAGATACTTGACATAAGTGAGGATACAATGAAGATTCCTTTGCCAGCCTTAAGAATCTTTGTCCGGCTAACGTTTTTATTTTAGTTGTACTCAATGCCGGTTCTGCTGGAGTCTGTCTGGGAACTAGACTGTACAAGAGTTGTCACTCAGTTACTGGTAAAGCTAGTAAATGCTTCAAAACAAACACTACAGCACGAGCACAACTCCACCATGTTCTAGACTTGGGTCAGTCAAGCTCCTGTGATGAGAACAAAGTTTAATCTACAAGCGTAGGACATGTATCGCGTGTGTAGATTACACTTTGTTTTCATCACAGGAGCTTGACTGCCTCTGGTTGGTTATCTGAAGGCCAAGGCTACATAGCAGGTTTAGAAATAGATGCTAGTTTGATACTTTGCCTTTGGCTGCCTAAGCATGATGGTAGGTTGGCTATTAACGATGCAGTTGGACCCCTGTGTAGACGCTCTGGCCTTCTGACGAATTCTACCACTACTTAAAACACACCAAAAATTGCCAAGTAGATTTCCTACATTGTTGTAAAATGTGATGGTTTTTAGCACTGAATGTGTTGCCATAGCACCTAACAATCTGGTTTCCATAAAGCAGGCAGCTATAAGCTACTGAATTAAAAGCAATAGCTATTTTTACTATTTTTGGATTTTTCCTGGCGTATCAGTTCCTTCCAAATTATTCAAGAATGCAAATGACAAGACTGCTCATAAATCTTGGAACTATTTTTTTTTTTGTTAACATGTTCTTGTTACAGGGAAAAGAATAAAGTTACCTCTAATAACAGAGCATATGCCAAAGCTTCAGAGATGGTTCTTTACTCTCCAAGTGAGGATGGTCATCCCCAAAGAGTTCGGCCTCAGAAAAGACAGGGTAAGATTGAGAACTCAGGAGGTAATGATTGCTCCATGGTTCCTCAATGCTTAATATAAACTCCACGCCTCACAAGTCAGGAATAAGACTTTATTGTTGAAGGATTTCTTATCTGTTTCCAGCTAATCAGTTATGTGTCACAAGAGGTTTAACATAAAGAGGCTAACTGCTTTTAACCATTTGTAACAGCAACCAATTAGAGAAAGGCTGCAATATAAGATTCATCAGAATGAGTCCAAGTTCCCACAGGTTTGGAGCAGGACAAGGGGAACAAGACCCTTCCCAGAATCTAATTTGCATCCCAAAAACAGGAAAACAATTCTCAAAGTGGTTTATTATAAAATCTGAAAAAGAAGGAGACAGAAGTTCAGAGCAAAGTACAGTCAAAAAAAAAAAAAAGCCAGCATGAGGCAGATCAGCTAGGAAAAGGCCCTGTCAGCATTAATCGCCTGACTTTTGTGTAGTTTCTAAATCAAACAAACAGGCTTTGTGGCGAACTGACAAATCATTGTGTTCCAGGACCCCATTTGTTTAAAATTACTTGATAAACAGGTCCTTCAACATTAATTTTTCTTCATCATTAAAGATCATTTTCTGTAGAGAATTCCCTCCCCAGTTGGAAGCTGCACTGAGGATTCAGAATACCAGGAAACCCATTTGATTCGCACACTGTAAAAATAAAAAGAGGACAAGAAGTTCCCTTCTCCCTCCTCTATCCCCCATTAAAACAGTCTCCGAGCACAGTCCTGTTCTTGGTACCTTTCAGAATTAACAAATTAGATCCATTTGTAACAAACACCAAGCATACAATTAGCTTAGAAATCTAGAAGCTATTGCCTTCCTTCTTGCTCTCTAACCTGATCATAAAAACATCTTTTAGGGCAGGAGTTGGCAAACTTATGACCCCCCAGCTCTGATGACAGGAGGCTTTGCACATGCTATAGTCAGACAGCAGCGGGAAGCAGCACCAGCAGCCAGGTCTGAAATCCCAGCCCACCTTAGACCCCAGTTGGATTGTTTTGGCCTGCCACTCAAAAAAAAAAAAAAAAAAAAAAAAAAAATGCTGCTGACTGCTGTTTTAGGGAATACCTCAAAAGTTGGGCAATGCAGATCAGTTCAAGCCAGAGTTTCATTTGTTTTCACCCTTTTAGTGTATACCAAGGATAATGGTGAAACAGGGTCAAGCTGACAGCCAAGACTACCTATAAGGTACAGTTTAAGGCCATCTGATTGAACTGCTGCATCTCAGCTTCTAGCTACAGCAAACTCAGTAAAAGACCCCAACATGGATCATGGAAAAACTTCCAAATACATTTTTATTTAGGAACAGTTCTGTCCATGATCTTTTTAAAAATGAAAACATAATTATGAAATTACCCGCATTTTGAAAACATTTATCACCATAGCATCTAGATGCTTTTACAAAAAAACAAAGAAGAAAAAAAAACGCTGCCTAGTACAAGGGATATGATCTTTATTGCTTAAGAATCCCCTGTACACCTGTTACTTATTCCTCATCTTTAGTAACCGTTTTCCAAATCACAGGATGCCCAAAGCAGGAAATTGAAGATGAGGAATAAGCAGGTGGGGGTGAACTCGAAATAAAGATCATCTTTTTTTCAGGGAAATCAGGGAAGGAAACTAACAACCGAGAGGCTTGCAGTTTAATGAAAGCGTGGGTAGCTCCTTTTCAATCCAACCATGAAAATCAGTTGGTTCACAGGAGCAGCCTTGCAGGAATGGATTCTAGTGTATGTAGGCTTGTAAAAGAGTGTAACAATGAGGACGGACCATACTGACCCCAGCAAAATAAAAATTCAGGCAAGACTCCACGGTAGAGTAAGTAACCATTAAAATTTGAGAGTGCATTTGCCACTCTTAACACAAGAAATTCAGCTTCGTCATTTCTGAATGAAACTTTTCCTTTTTAAAAAATAAAGACAGACTTCTCTTTACACAAACTATATATTTTTTTTTAAATCGGGGAGTACAGCTAGCTGTAAAGCAGCCCCTCAGCTAGTGTTTGCTCCTCAGCTACCTTTTTCTTGTGTCCTCCCCACCCTTGCGAGGGGGGCTTTTATTTTTCATTCTGAATTAGAGTATTGAGTTGTGTTGGCCATCAATGAAAATCAAGTTATGTCTATGCCTGGTCCATTACAAGCGTGTACTGACTCTGAACAGGCCACTGGTCAAAAAACAAGCTCCAACTTTTCAGAGGACCAAATAAATAAATTTCCTTGTGCTCCAGATGTCAGATTTACATAGTACACGTCCCTGGGGGAGACTGCTTTCCTCTAATAGACTGGTAAAGAATGCAAGTGCACAGACTCATACACAGAACATAGGGAAGACGATGACAAGAACTTCCCCTTGGTTTCAGATGCAGATATCCATGTTCTGGAACCTGCTGGAGCTTTTCCACAATACAGAATTAAACCTGTGTTCACTAGAGAGGCCCTGGTTAACTTCTGAATCCAAAGATGCCCTTGATATATCCTGTAAGACCGCTCTTTGCCTTCTGCTCCACCTTGTCCTCCAGAGGTGGGAAGGCAACATAATTGAGGGCCAGGTCAAAGAACAAGGGTTTGCATGGTATTGGCAGGAACCCAGGAGGGAAATGCACCAGACTGGCTTGCTTGCTGACAAGAGAAGGGTCCAGGCAGAAGGTCTCAAACCGTTCAGAGAGAGGCTGAAGAAAAAACCCAGACATTAAAATTAATCAAGTTTACTTTACATCGCTGTTGGCCCAATGACCAAGCAGCAGCAGTAGCAAGGCACAGAGAAGGAACAGATGCACTGAGCCAGCTAGAGCTGAAGTTAAGTATGGCACTGAGGACCCTCTGGAAAGGATGTGCTGTGACACTCGCCCCACCCAGCTAGCTCAAACAGCACTACAGAATCAATGGGCAGTATCTCAGTGCACTGGGTAGGTGCAGTGAACTACAAAGGAAACCCCAGTGAAAACCTTCATGTACAGCCTTAGGTGACCCTACACAAAACCAGCTCAAGTCCTGCAGTTGGCAAGGAACCTCCCCTCACACTATCCACCCTCAGTGCTTTCCCTCTTTCCCACAAGCAATCTGTCCATGCCATTCCATGACCAGACCATATTATACAACCCCAAATTATACACCTCAGCCTAGTTAAATTTAGCAAATACACAGGCGAACATTCAGGTTACTGGAAATAACATTAAGCTTTGCTCTTCTTTCATTAAAAGAAAATGACAGAAAGCAAGCTGAGGTGCAGAAGCTGTTGTACTAATATAGTCCCAAATTGCTGCCATCTCACCCTCTTACCTTGCCATCCTTGACTTGAGATGGAGATTCTGCCTCACAAGTGTCACTTGTATCTGAAAGATTCAGAAGGGCCATAAGAAAATTCAGACAACTATTAAGAAGAAATTAGCTTACTCGTATCAGAACTCAGATGCATTCAAAACTCTTTTTGAGTCATGTTTTTCCAACCTGTAGAAAACAAAGTACTTCACAACAGAGATGACTTGCTTAAATCTCCAAATTGTAAAGGTTATGGAATCAAATTGATTTATAGTTGATACTTTCCCTCCTTAAAGAGTGACATATAAAGGTTACAGCAGAAGCGAAGCACTAACCATTGTATTTAAACTGAGAAAAGGCAAAATACTTCAAACGTCCAGCGTTTGGATGGGAGAAAAGCCAAATCCATACATATGCTGGTTTCCTAAAGCATACAGGCTAGTTTATTTCACCGAACTACACAGAGCAATTGACACTGAATGATGTCTCAGTATATCAGTGCCTAGGATAAAAGTTAACATAAAACCTCCCCAGTGTCTCCTGGTTAAGGCAGCCCCAAGGAAAACAGACTCAGGATAATTCAGAGCATGTGCTACTGCTCTAAAAGTCCTATACAGCAGGGGTTCTCTCGACCTTTTTCTTCCTGAGGCTCCCCCTTGCTATGCTCTAAAAGCTCCATAGCCTACTTGTGCCACAACCACTGCCTGGCTCCCCTGCCCTGCCTGCATGGCCCCAGTGCAACAGTTAGGGTTCTGCAGCGGGGAGCCTCACAGCCCCACTCACCTGAGCAGCAGCAACATGGAGCCTCAACCACCCACCTGCAGCACCGCCTGCAAGATGGAGGCTGTGGGGGTAGGTGGAGTGGACATGCCCCTTCCTCAGCACTTGTCTCAGGCCTTGGGGGCTGAGGTGGCTCCTCCCCATGCTGAGCCGGGTGGACCCACTGAAACCTGCTCACATGCCAACCCCCAGTTGAGAACCACTGCTATACAGGAAGCCATTTTTCTTGGGAGAGCATCTTATGCAAGCCACTAAAGCAAGGACAGGAGTTCCTCAGAAGTCCTTCATACCTCCCATTAGGAAATATTATGATAAAGCCTCAGTCAATGGAAGCCCTAGAGGCACTATATACACCTTCTAGAAGAGGCCAGACTAGAAAAAAACATCTTTCTAATCCCACCTTGCTTCTTCCTGTATTTTCTTGATCCAAGAAAGTATTTTAAATTTAACACTGAAAAGCCATGGCTACCTGAATTTTAAAAGTGCCTAGTACTCCAACAGATTGTGTAACTCACCTAATATGGCTGCTGCCTGCAAAGAGTATTTCTCTGCATTCACTTGTGTGATCAACTCCTGGACATCGGGTAGCTCCTAGATCATTCAATAACAAGTGGTAAACATTAGGACAAAGTTTAGATTCTTTACTTCTGGCAGACGAGAAAATAGGAGAATAAGGGTATGATATGGCCTTTAAGCTATACTAAATGGGAAATCCCCAACACGTGAGGGACAAGGCACCCGTATACAATTCTCCCTGCACTAATGTGAATGAACACCTTGGTGCTTGAACAGACACTCACATAAAAACACTTGTTGAGGAGATCTAAGCTTCTTGCTTCCAAAAGCACGTGGTCAGTCTGAGGGCTTAAAAAGAGCAATGCCTGCATAGCGTGCATCCAGCAGGTCTTCAGCACTGTGTGTCATAAGACGTTAACTTTCTGACTCTTTCCACCAGCTAAAAATCAAAACTGGTATATACTGGCCTAGTATTTAGTTACTCCTTTAGTGCTTCTTCACAAAAATGAGCTTTTCTGTGCAGTGAGGAGGGTTGGGGGTCTTACCTTTAAGCTGTTCTTATAAGCTCCAGCCTGGGACTGCACTTCATTGGCGTATTTCAGCACTCTGTCATATAAGACAAGGGCTTCACTCCACTTCTTCACCAGGACATAGGATTGTGCAATGAAAAAACACCTGGCATAGTGGGGAAAAAGCCAAAACTTTACTATGATCACATTCTTTGAATATTTTATGCAGGTTCAAATTATTGCTAATACTAGAGCCACTAATCTGGTACTGGCTCAGAGCTTCCTCAGCTTGCACTTCCTGACCTGCTCATTAAATGACGTTCCTACAAGAGATTTGGGGAATCCTATCACTTACTGCCCACGAGAAAAAAACCTTGATGTTCTGTCCAGACTTACCTGTAAGCCTTGTACACCAGCGTCTTCAGTCCTATCTCCTTCTGGAAATTCTTGTCCTCTTCCAAGCCAGGGAGCTGTGTCAGTTCCACCAGATTCTGTACAAAGTATTACAAAACAGGAATGTCACATCCAAATGTGTTCCCTTAGTGTGCTAATGAAGAAAAATGCCCACTTTGTTGAGCTGGCACAACAGTACCTGCCTAAGGAAACAGTTTTTTGATTACCAGCGTATTAAATTTTCAACTGGTGTAAATTTACCCTCAGTTGAGGATTTGTGGTTTCCTGACACAAGCACGCATTACAGCCAGTGTTTTCAGACTTTCAGGGTAGGATTCTTCTACTGGACATCTCCCTTCTATTGCCCAGACCACATGCTCCCAAGCAAATGGAGCATCCACGTGACAATTACAGCTACTGACTACAAGGGAAAGTTATTAGGGAAGTCTTTAGTGTTATGTTTAGCTGTAGCTGCAATCTAGAAGCTGGAAGTGAGCTTGCATTGTGGTGGTCCATAAACACACTACACTGAGAACTAGTAACAACATCAATCTTAGAAGCATTTAGCGATGCTTTAAACTTCTTTTCCCCACACAAAGTGGGTACTGGGTACCATTGGCTGAAGAAATGCAGTGAAGTCAGTCACATTAAGTGTGAATTGGAAGGGCATCTTCAGGAAGTTAGCCTTTTACATGCCAGACTGGCTGTCTTAAAAGCTTTTTTTTTTTTTTTTTTTTTTTTTAATTAAAGAAAAAGAGACTTAGCTTGATTTTCCTTCTTCAACATTACCTGCAGGATTATATCATAAAGGCGAATCAGGTCCTGAGGTCGTGCTGTGTGCTTGCCATCATCTTCTGTCCGTTGCTGCTGTAGTAGTGCCTTCTGCAAAGCTTTTGCCATGCTCTCATTGCGCTTGATGGCTGTTGACAGCTTGATGTTTGTCAAGTAACTAGAGAACACCATTAAGAAGCTTTGAGAATTGGGCACAGGCGATGCACAGCAGCACTTGGAAAACCCAAGAGATAATTTCTACAGCTAGCTACCAGCAGTTCCCATGCAGGGGACACTGGGTGGGAGGGAAGGCAAAGAAAGACAAGGACAGGCTACTGAGCTGAAGTTTCCCAGAAGTGCCCCAGGAGACTGAGATTCTCTTCATCAGCTGAGTGCAGACCACTGAAGACTGCTGTGGCCCAAGAAAAGATTCTTGAAATCCACAAGAAAATGTATTTCTTGCCTAAGTATATGCATGTATACCAGCGCTTAATTCTTACCTGTGTAGATACTGAATATTGGACACCTTCCCAGAATCCACTTCCAGAGAATGTTCCCGTTGTTTCTGCAGAAATTGGACAAAACCATGCATGATTTACTTACAATGGTTACTAGGGAAAGGAAGAAACAGAAGCAACCCAATGGTTGTACGATACACAGAAACAGATAAAAGTCTGCATACAAAAAAGCCTTGAGGCATGGTCAAAGTACCTAGACAGAAATTAAATGAGAAGAGAACCCTAAATTACTCTATTACTCTCCTACTAAAGCAACCCAAAAAAGTCCCTCCTGCTGCTGGTTTGTACTTAACTGAGGTGCATAAAAAACATCAGATGATGGGAATACAGCGATTGTGGAAGTAGCAGTATCCATCTACACTTACAGTTTTATATCTTACCTGGTCTGGTTTCAGCTCTTCACGAACAGCTTGTATAGCATCTCTACACTCACTGAGTAAAGACTCAAACAGACGTTCTTTTGTTTCTTCTTTTTCTGCCTAAACAAACACAGGAGAAAAAAGTAAGCATTTCTGAAATGCCTGTTTTCAGTTAGCAATCTGGTGGTCTAAAAGACGTAATTCAATCTTCCCTTCTCAACAGATCTTTCCAAATTTTCCCCACACTGTCTGAAAAGAAGTTTTGGTGGCCATTAAGTGAAGCTGAAAAATGGACATGCTCAAATCAACGCTGAAGAGAAGAAAAAAAAACACCTGTCCTACAGAACCACCTTTTCCAAAATTTAAAGATTTGATACTGTTCTAAGATAACAGCCCTGGAAGGCTCAAGCCCTGTCTACAAGAAGGGTGTTAATACAAACCCCTGACTTAGAGATAGCCTAGTTCCTCTCACATTTGTAAGCTGCATACATTGTGTCTCCAACTGGCCTAGCTAAGCCTCTCCTCCCTTAGACACTCCCACCCCAACCCTAGGCACATTTTAAATACCCTTTCTGGTGCTAACTGGGACTTCGTGACAACAGCTGAACTGGCTAAGTCTGAATTATTAAGATGACAACGGCTGGAAAGTGAGGGCTAATCTACTGCATTTCTGCTTCTAAGGGAACAGAGGAAAGACCTATCCTTATTTCCCCTCTCCTGCTCATAGATCCTTAGGGCACTGATAAAAACAACAATGCACTGAAGAATTAGCCATCTGACACAAGATGGAACACACTAAGAAATCCACAGAAGAGTGCATGCTTTGACTTTTTTTGATTTTTAGCTTCAATAGTGGTGAAAATTTCCAGCATAAGGTACGCATCTTGGTCTCTTCCTCTAATGCTGATCCTTTATATAGCATTTTAAGTACCACAGAACATCCTTTTAAAGTGAAAGCACATTTCATCAGCAAGCAAGAACAAAGAAGAAAAGTTCCATATTATACCAACTTGTCAGAACCATGGTTAGAACTCAGATTCTTGGCTCCATGCCCTATACCCAACACAAAGAATACACCATTTTGAATCATACAAGTAGGAGCTGTCTAAGCATTACCTGACATTCTGTGCACCCAATCAAATCACACACCTGTATCCCAACTTCATTTCTGATTAGCTGACTATCAAAAGTCTGATGAAAAGATTTAAACAGATGCAAGCCATACTGACCCAGTATGACAGAAAAGTGACTGCAAACAAAAGCCTTGTTTGGGTTTAGAGACGTAGACTGCTTTTGGGAAAGTGACGTGCGTTGCCTTCTAATTCCATGCTGTTACCTCCTACATTAGCAGCTTTAGTCTGCTATACAAAGCTAATGATCTGCCCATATCCAGACATAAGGAGACTAAAAGTTTTTAGGAGTGGTTAAAAATAGGACTACATTCTCCTAATTTAGTTTTACGTTCTCTTGGACTAGTTGTTTACTCAACTCTATTCTGCTTCAACGTTTAAATGAACCCAATAAAGAATGCTATCCTTAGCCCTCCATAACAAGATTCCCATTTGTCAGCTGAAGATAAAAAGTTGTTTTTATTTGAAGAATTTCTGTATAAACATTAAGGTAGAACCAAATACTGTGAATAACTAGAGAGAAATAAGACAAGTTCAACTGCATTCTTAACTCCACCTGCAGAAACAGTGTGACTTCCACAGATAGAAAAGAAAACAGACAACCAACTAGATCATCAATGATTCAAGTACAAATAAAGGGCTAGGCAGGACAGCAAGATGAATGCTTTCCTTTCTGACTGAAAAAAAATAAAGGCTAAACTCTGGCATACTTCTGTAACATGTACCATAATCTCAAGAGTAGAACATACAATAAATATCCAAAGCCAGCCTAACAGCTGAGTTTGCTGCAGAGGGGCACAACTGCTACAAAACTTGGTACTAAGATTCAAGACTGAAGTATGTTAAGAGAACAGAGAAAGAAACTGGCATATTGGTTAGGATACATATACATGCTATATGATTCTTAGTCAAATTCTGTATCTTCAATTCATGGTATCAGATAGCAATAGAAAAGGAACTCAAGTGAGCCACGGTCAAATGGTCAAAATGTCATGTTAGTGACTCTGAGTTTACAGCCTTTGCTTTGCTTCCCCCCTAATCACAAAACAACTTGGAAGTACAACAAGCTGAGAAACTATTTTTATTTACTCAGTTAAGGGACCCAAGTGAAAAGCAGCCATGAGAAATCTTGTTCTCACCATCAATAATTGAAATAAGTGCAGACATGGTCCCTTATGTATAACTTTCAATTTAGCAGTGTCTAGCACAAAAGGACTTGAGCTTCTGGTACTGTCAGAATAAAAAGTGGGACTAAAGTCCTCTGAAAGAGCAGGCTAAAAGTGTTTGAACAGGAGCCCCACTCATCTCATTCAAATATTGAAGCTTTGACTTTGGAAACTGCTCCAAAAAAATCACTGTACTCTCACACTGTCTGTAGCAATAAAGATAACAAGTCTATTGTCATGCCACTAGTCCAGGAGAATTTTTCAATAATTTAAGAACCAGCTAGAAACAAATTTAGTTTTCCATTCTGTCACTGCTCCAAAGAACTGCTCACGGGAAGACCAGGGGTAGCTAGTCAAAGACCAGCACAACCACTAACCTGCATCTATAAAGGAACCAAAGTGAGAATGTTAAAGGAAAAGCTACATCCCCACCTACTGGTGGAACTATTGTATTACTTGCACAGATTTTCCCTGTTCAAGAGAACCATCATTTTAACTCTGCAGAGCAACCAATAGCAAGCAAGCAACAGCAAATAAGGTCTGTTCTAGATTCTACTTAAGCTAGAATATGCTTTAAGGAACAAAATCTGTAGGTTAAATTGCAGAAGTATTTTGGACTAGTAACCAAATCACTTTCATTTATACATTTTCTCTTATCTGAAGACTTCATTATGATCTATGAATCTCATTTACTACTAAGATTATAACACCCATAACTGAAATGCAGCGTTCTTTAAGTCCTAGAAAACACAACAGGTACTTAGCAGAAACCAGAGAATAGTGGTGTAAGATGCAGACCATTCAGATCAAACAACAGCTGTTAGGTTAAACAGAAGCAGGACTATTAAAATACTGACACAGGAGATGCAGTGATTTCTTGGTTACCTGAGCAATGGCTTCTTCATTATCTGCCAACCCCAATAAGAAGATCCTCACTTTGTCTATCTTCACCGGGACAGTTCTCCCCCTCCACTGCACCTCACTCATGGTGGCTGCCTGCTTTGCACGAGTCTGGGTGATCAGTGCCTGCAAAACACAGACAGAGGTGAGTGACTGATAACTTAAACATGTGCAATTTTTGAGTATTAAACTAACTTTACATTGACTCCAAAGTCTGAAGTGCTTTTTATGGAACCGCCTGGCCATTCCCCTTGTAAGGTACTAATGCTCCTGTCTTTTATACATGGACATTTAACTTAAAACACTTGAATACCAGTGTGTTGCAAAATGTAAACATGCAATAAAATTACCTCCAGTTTTTCAGCAAGAAGACCCTCAGTGCCACCAGATCTCAGTCTCATCTGCATTAACTCATTGATAGCAGACTGATCACCTGAGAGAGAACCGGCACACCAGATGAGAGACTAGACTCACGTGAATTTGACTCAAAGCAAGATCTGACCCCATGTTCGTGAGAACAAAAGTAACTGAGAAGCAGAAAAGGGAAGTTACTTACTATGCCTCTACTCCAAGCATTTATCTCATTCCCTGTAAAAACACGCTGACGGTTGCAGAACTTAACAGTAACATTAGAGTAATGTTGGAGCCATTAAGGTAATCAAATTAGGAGAGGGAACGATTTTTTGGGGTGGTATCTTTTACTAGGCCAACTGTATAGTTGGGGTAAAGTTAGACAAGCTTTCAAATGCAAAGCTTTCTTCCTCATGTCTTCAGGAGAAAGAAATATGTTTTGCATTTGGAAGCTTGTCTAACTTTATCCCAACCACAGTTGGTTCAATAAAACAAAACTCAAACAACCCTTGGCTCAAAAATTAATATAATTTCCATGTTTTAAGCTGAAGTACCTTGGCAGTCGCATGTATGAGTCAGCAGTTGTTTGTCTAAAGCATTAATGGACTCTCCTATGTCAACATTTGCCCACATTTAATACAATCAAAAATTAAGAAAGGCCATCCTTTGTATCCATCCCCCTCCCAGCAATCATTATATTCAGTTGAACATTTACGTTTCCTGTTTTACTTACCAATATTGTAGGCACAATAGCGAATGTTGGGCGAGATCTCCTCCACACGTTGGTTATATAGCACAGCCTGCTCTTCTGTGAAAGCATTAGCCAGTTTTTCATATATGGTTCTGTAGCAGAAAAGTGAAAGCTTACAGTGTAACAACAGTTTCCCACAGAGCGCTAAGACACAAAGAAAAACATTGTTTCTGAACATTAAACCATTACCCTGTGGGAAAGCATTTCAACAACATATTTCAGTATATCACTATAAAAAAAATCCAGAAATCCATCAGAGACTAAACTGGGATTAAAAAGAACCTCATGTAAATTAAACAGTACTGCCTTCTCTTCATTAAGTGAAAGGTATTTAACACAAAGCAGAGAAGATAAACTCACTTGCATTTGTTGAAAGCTTCCATTGCTGCCTTCCACTCCTGGTGCTCAAAACGCAGCATCCCTGTGAGGTAAGCCATGTATGCCTGCAGAAAGAGAACAGGAGTAGGCGAGTTAATTGCTGCAAGGGCAATGGGGCTATCAACAGAAAGGTCACTAGTACATCTAAGGCCTTTATTAAAAAGCCTAACCTTGTGGTTTTGGTTATTTATGAAAACCATTTTGATTTAATGCCACCACCAGCATGTATTTGTAGCTTAAGCAGTAAGACACTACTTGATTCTATGCATTTTCAGGATGCTGCATTCAATCAAATGGGAGTACACATTCATTCTGTAAGAGTTAGGTGCAGTATAATCATCCTTGCCCCACCATGCTTAGCACACACTTGCACAGTCTTAATTTAATCTGAGGCAAGGAACATTGCTCAATTCATTTATACAGCATCCAACACAGCTCAGCCTTAATCCACACTGGAGCCTTCAGACATTACTGTAATGCTTTTAATAGCAGTAGCCCTAGCCACATTTCATTTAAAACAAAAATGTAGATTTGCTAACTAATTGCCAAATCAAGCTATTCTCACCGAACTCAATGACCAGTGAGCAACCATCAACCTAGACATTCTAAACTTAAGTGTCACCACAGACAACTGAACGCCAGTTTGTAGCACAGGATCCTTTGCTCAATTCAACGTAACCTGAGCTTCCAGCTTTGTCTTGGCATCCACCCGATGACTTTCGCACAGACGCTCCAGCTCCTCAGCATGCTTCACAGCTTTGCGCAGACGAGAGAGCAAGTGAAATCGCTTACGGGGTTCTGTGTTTGCTTCCTGCTTAAGCTGCATGGCATAGCTCCAGGCTCTCTCTGCATCCATCAGGATCAACAACAAGTACCTACAAGACAAAAGGAAGGCTATGAACAAAACAATCAAGTGCACACATGACTTTTTTGTTCCTTTTGATCAGTCAATCAGAAAAACCTTTAGCTGTAACAGTTTGGACACGGACAGACAAATGCCTTTAATTCTAAAGGTAACTCTGAGCTTTTATACCAGACCCCATAGCTTTGATTATCTTTTTCACCACATAGCTTGTTACTGAATTGCAACTATACCAACATGGCAGGGAAGTTGGTACTACTCTATAGTGTCAAATTTTGGGGAAGATGAGTAAGGGCAATGCTCTTATATGGCTTTTCAGGATGTTTCAGTAAAACTACATACTCAAAATATATCTGATTCTAACCATCAAGCAACCAGATGCATTGAGAACATTAACAGAAAACTGATGGAAAGCAATTCTGTGAGAAAAAAAACACTGTATTCTTCCCCAAAAGAAAAATAATAAGACAACAGACATTCAAGTGTTTCAGCAGCTGGGAAATGAGCTCAAGACCCTGGATCCTTTCCAGGTGTTCTATTTCAAAACCATTCTGCTGAATTTTGAAGGCGCAAGGAGAAACTGTGCCTAAGTGTTTGTTGAAAGGAAAGAGATCATGTTTCTCATCTCTTCCTTGTTAGGTTACAGCACTTAGCTTGACTATGCTCAGCTGGCTCTCCCACAGATGTTCTGACTAAGCACTCCTCCTCAAAAATATCTAAGCCAACTTTACTGCTCATCAAACCAGGACCAACAGCTGTGACCAGAATCAGTGAGTGAAACCAAGAACTGTAGTCTCCCCTCTCAAACTCAATGTTGTGCTTCAAGCACAAACCATAGCAATGTCCCTTTTCCCTGTACTGTAGTCTGAACTTAGGTTTTAGGTTTCACAAAACCCATCACCATGAAAAGAAAAAACTGTACTATAGTTGTTGAGGACTATTTTAACATGTTACTTATGTGTAGGTAAGTTACCTTCAGGGGTGAAAAGAATGATTCCCTAGGGAACTGAACGCTCATCTCTCCCCATAACCAATACCTGCTGTCTGAGAGAATTTCCTCAGTTACTTTCTTCCCTGTGAACTTGTGTCTATTTCCCATCTTGAAGTTAAGAGTTTTGCGGAGCCGTCTCAGCCTGCGGGAACAATAACCCCTGGAAATAACCACAAAAAAGAAAATCAGTTCTTCTGAAGAATGATCTTGCTCCCATTTATTCTCCTTTCCACTACCAAACCTACATTGAATAATCAAAAGGGTACGCAACACATAATATATCCAGTTTTACAGATTTTGAACCTCTTGCACTAAAAGGGACTATACAACACAGCCAAAAAAAGCCTACTGAATGTGGGATATCAGACTGTCAAAAGACAAAATGTATGAATAAAAGGACAAATAAATGGCCATAACTGCCACTGATCAGGAAAAACTACACTTTCCCCGTCTTCAACTGACCTAAATAAATTTCAAATGGACCATCATTAATCCAATAACAAATCCTTATAAAAGACAGAAAACAAAAGCAAATGACAAATTTAAGCTCAGTACCCCAACGGGGGTAGAGCACATTAAGTATATTAACAGAAAATGGATACACAGGTTTATGGTAAAACACACCTACCAAATCTTTATCTGGCCACTGCTTTTCACACCAACTACCTCATGCTGACAGCTGTGGCAAGCCAGCATTTTAAAAGCACTGAACTGAAGTGCATGGTGAGCTCTGCTAACAAGGGAAGTCAAAAAGATGGCAGGGCAGCATGGGAAATCAAGGCTTCATTCCAAGGCATTTTACATAATATACTAACCTGTATCTCTGGAAGTCTCCATGCCGCAAACCATGCTGTTGCTGGGATTCCTTAACAATCTGAAGGACTGGAATTTGCATTAAGGAAGATATGACAGTATACAAGGAACTCTAGAGGGTTTTTTGTTCTTATGCTAATACATACTAAAAAGTTACTGATCCAGTAGCTAATTTAGGTTTCACAAAAAATCTCTTCAAATGGATCTGTAGAGCCTTCACTCCCATATTTTATTTCAGAATGCTATGGATGTAAATTAAAGCAGGACTACACTTAAGTGTCACTGCAAAAGACTCCGAGTATAAACACTCATAAAAAGACTCATCAGCATGGCAAACAAAATAAGCTATACTAGCAGAAGTAATTATGCTAGCAGAAGTATTTATGCCAGAATGACTGACTGTATACCAAGGCTTTTGCTCAGGTAGCTGTTACAGGGGAAAAAACCAACCCTAAGAAACACAGCTATGCCAGCAAAACTTAAGTGTAGAACCAGGCAGGGTAGATCTGCACTTTACAGATTAACCAAGTTTAATCTATGTAGATCGGGGAGGGGCTGCAATTGAATTGGTGTATATATGTGAAGCAATCAAATTAAGTAACACAAGTTGGTGAGCTTTAGCCGGTGAAAGCACGTGCTCTATATATCCAGTTTGTTTTGCTGAATGGATTATAATGGCCATTTGTCAGCTTCCTAAATAGTCCTTAGGGTATGTAGTCTTGTTAACAAACAAACGTATGGAAGTATTCAGTATTCTTGTGCTAAAAAGCAGCTCAAAAATAATGTATTCAGTTTCCTTCAGTAGTTATGTACTCCAGCAAGAAATACATGTTTTTATACAAGACTGCCATCTTCTTTGGCATCCTTATTCACTGGTCTACTTGTATATGCTGTACCTGCTTCACTCTTTACAACTAAATGCAAGACACTACACAAAATAAAGCTTCCCTGTATTCACTTGGATGATCAGTGTTTTTACGCGTTTCCCTCATTTTATGCAGGTTCTGTATGTGCGAATTCACTGTTATGCGGTGACCCTTTTTTATACCAAAAATGTGTTATATCTGAGGTGAATTTACTCTTATGCAATCGGTGTGGTAGAAGCCCACAGTCAGCTGCTTTGTGCAGTGCATTGTGGGAGTGATGCGCACCAAAATATAGGTCTCCCATGTGGATCTGTGTTCCTTACTCACTGTCTGTGACACGTGCTTCTGTAGTTGCATCCCACTAGCTCGGGGTGGGCAAAATGCGGCCCGCGGGCCAGATGCGGCCCACCAGGCCATTCTATCCAGCCTGTGGGGCCCCTAAAAATTTTTTTAAAAATTAATATTAATCTGCCTTAGGCTGCTTGTCACACAGCCCTCAATGGCTTGCCAAAACTCAGTAAGCGGCCCTCCGCCCAAAATAATTGCCTGCCCCTGAGCTAGCTTAATGTCTACCCCTCTCCGTGGTCTACCAGTGACATGAAGTCTGATACTGAAGGCCCTTCACTGCCCTTTCTTCATACCAACAACATTTTCACCACCACCCTGTGCTTGTGTGTACTGTCTGCTGTTGGCAAGTACTAAAACTGTCTAGTAAAAGTGATAGAAATGGGCCTGGGGGGTCAGTACAGTTGAGGTCTTGGAATGTATCCCCATTTGTTATATTGTAAAGTGGGTTCCCTTTATGCGAATTCAAGCTGCACACCATTTTCCAGGAAGGCATGTACAGCATAAAGCAAGGGAAGCCTGTATTTATGTCAGGATGACCAGTTAAAAAAATAACACTGTTGGACAGAATGTTTAATTTAGCTTTAAGAACTACGTTTTTCAAGCCTTCCTATAAATCTACCAGCAATAAGCTGGACATGAAACCTATCAAAAGCAATACCAATTACAGTAGAGCAGACAATTACCAAACTGAAGTCCATTCCCTTTCAAGTATAAGGAGCACCTTCATATAAAAACCCAGCTTTTACAGTCTCAGCAGTAAAAACTGCAGCATTGATCACCTGTTCACAGAACCAAGGAGCTTGCATTTTTGGAGCAATGGCAAGTGAAATGAAGAAAACCCCAACCTCTAGAGAAGTGATTCTCAACCAATGTTGGGGCACCCTGAGGTGCTGCATGCTCTTTTTAAGGATGCAGCAAGGTATGAGGAGATAAGGACAAGCTTAGGTTCCTCTGTGCTTGGCCACTGCCCTGCCCCTTTGCAAGGAGGTAATCACTGTAACAAAGTAGTTTTTGAACCAGGGTGTTTCCAGTCTAAAAAACAGTTGAGAACTACTGCTCTAGAGTAGACCACCCAAGCTGTACTTCCTTAAACTTCAGCATTTCTTTTTGAGTGTAAAATGCCTGTTTTAGATCATCTCTCTATTTATAAATTTAATTCTTACCAGCTGTTTACAATGTGGTGTATTAGATGTGTCTACCACCATTGGATGCATGTGATGGTAAGCTTGCCAATTACTATACTCATGCCTACAGCCATATGTTAAGTTGCAACTTGTGCCCTTATTCCAATTTGCATTTCTTCCCAACTGAAGATAACATTCAGTTTCACAACAGCTGTGCAGCTGAGCTAAATTTCACACTAAAGACTCTGCACAAAAGCCAACAGCTTTACAAGCCTGCAGAAAAGTCAAACATTTTTCAGATCTGAACAACACAAACTGTTGCAGCTAAATGTACTTGTCACTCATTTTATCCACTATAATAAGTTCTTACTTTTCTTGCAAAGGTTTGTGTTACTAAGATTCAGACTTCATGCTCCTACTGCATGCAAATAATCTGGAATGCGTACCTGATGTACAATCTGGAATAAAAATATACAGCTTGGTGATATATGTTAGACTGCATGTGAAGATGCTACTCAGAGAGGAAGGAGGTGATGAAACTAGTTCACAGGCAGACCTTACACCCCCTAATCTGTACACTGATGATTTCTACAGGACTATGTAGGTGTTCCAGATTATTTCCAATCAGCTATGACAAACATGACTAAGATATCAGGGCACATCCTGGCACAGCTAATATTGCTCCACTTGCTTCTTCATGTTCTAAACCAGTGATTCTCAGTCAGGGTGTCTGGCATCCTTTCAAGGGTGCTGCGGGGTGTCAAGCCATGTTAGCACTGTTTGGTGTGCAAACAAAATTCACAAGGCAAACTAAGAGATTCTGACCTGTTCTGGCCCTTTTCAGTTCTCTGCACCTCTAGTATTTTTCTGTAGTAAAAAACAAGAACAAAAACAGGAAAAGCTGGTGTTTACCATGGGGGGGCTCAAGACTCAGAAGGCAGAGAACCACTTTCCTAAACACTACCAGATCTCATGCTCCTTACCTCATTTTAGCAAGGCTTCTACTTTGTGCTAAAGCACACGCAACTGAAGTCTCAGCTTGAGTTAACCCCAAGAGCAGGGAACCCAGACTACCAACATGCAACAAAAATGCAGCATGCAGATAAGCGAGGTCTTAACCAGAGATTTAAGTACAGGACTGCCAGGCTAAAAACAGGCAACAGGCTCAGTTGAGAGGCAAGGATTTCTGAGGGTGGTATCTTTTACTGGACCAACTACATAGCTAGGATGCAGTCAGACAAGCTTTTGAAGGCGAGACGATCTTCTTACATCCGAAAGCTTGTCTAACTTTATCCCAACTATATAGTCAGCCCAATAAAAGACAGCATCCTAAGAAATCCTCACTTCTCACAAAATTAGACAAGCTTCTAAATGCCAGACATTCATCCTCAGGTCTGAAACTGGGACCTCAGGAAGAATGTCTTACCTTGGAAAGCTTGTCTAACGTTATCCCAGCGACACTGCGGGTCCAATAAATACAGCGCCCTAAGGAAGCCTTGCTTCTCGCGTAATTCCCAGACTATGCCAGCCACAGCATTTTTCTTAAATTAGGGTTTGAGGGGCTTGGCCCACATTTGAGTGCTTCATCTCCCAGCAAGCCCCGGCCATTAGGGATAGGGACAAGCCCATAATCCTACCTACCAGTGATTTGAATTAACACTTTGCTGGGAACCATCCTGGCTAATTGCCATGGAAACCTAGTGTGCAAGTGACTGGGGCCAAATCTGGGGCTAATCAGGACTGGGGCTCATCAGGGCCACATCAAACCAGGGGCCCGTGGTCCAGCCACAGGGGGATGATCCCTGGTGCCCCGAGCACACACCCCAGGGAGTGCCCTGCCCTTCCAGCCCCCCACGCATGAAGCACAGGAACCCGCCCGCATTGGTGCTGGCGGCTGGGCCCGGCCCCATCAGGCCCCGCTTTTCTCTCAGCTCCGTCCCTACCCCTGGCACCCCCGCTCCCGTGACAGGCGCCCTCAAGGGCACCGCGCCGGACCCTGAGGCGGGCGGGGCCCGGGCCCGGCCTCCCCCAGTCGCGCTGACACGTCCG